AATCTTCTAAAATTCACTTGCTTGCCATTTTCAATTTCCTTCACGTTCTTTATCGCATCTCTTGCACCTTGCCCTCCTCAGGTTACCTTTCAAATGTGCAGAATGCTGATGCTTTAGTTTTCTTCGTTACAGTCAAGTCAAAGAGACGTTTATAGAGTGAAGAATTTATACCATAGAACAGCGGTTCAATCAGATGGTGTTGCCCCTCAGGGAACATTTATCACTGAAGGAAGATCATTTTAGTCATCACAGCTGGAAGTAGGGATGCTAGTAGTGGCATGCAGTGGAGAGGGGCCGGGGATGCTACTAAACACCCTACAGCGTGCAGAATAGTCCCCAACAACAAAAAGCTATTCCATCCCACATGGCAGCAGTGCTCTGCCCTAGAAGAACTGGCGGGGAATGTGAGTACTGGCTATGCTCTGTGTCGCCAAAGCCAGCTACAGCTCTCCAGGTAGGAGCCCTCCCGTGCCTCCTCAATGAGGTGAGACGAGGATGCTTACGTGGGGTTTCGTCAGTGACAGCGAAACAGTCCGTCCCAGCGTGTCCTGTGCACTGCCCACGTGCCCTGCCCTGTGCAGTAGCTGCGCCCACACAGCGCAACAACCCGTTGCGAAAGACCATCGCCCTGGTGTGTTGTCTGCAATGCGAGGGGTGCGTGTGTGCGCGCGTGCGCGTGTGTTCTCAATGCACAAAGCTCAGATGTGTGAATCTGTAACTTCATTGTTTTATAACTAAATATGGTTTCTATCACAAGCTGCCATTACAGCCAATCGCAGAAAGCTTTTTCTTGCTAATGGAGGGAAAATCCAGTCAATTCAAGATTGCTTTAGTCAAATCCCACATAAATATATACACAGTTCACCCCTTTACCTATTTCCCCTGGGGGCTCTTTCCCTTTTCCCTGTGCGCCGGCTTCCTGGCATCAGGGAGGCACCTGGTCCTTGTCAGCCTCCACCCCACCTGGCCTCTGCCGGTGCCTCCTCCCTCTCAGAGCATCTGATCATGTAGCCCACTCCCCACGGGCCACTGTCACTACTCATCCTCAAGTCTCCTTGTTCTCTCTCCCCCCGACCTGCCTCTTTCTCCCTTTCCCTCTTCCCCCTCAACTTCTTTCCTCCACTGGCTTCTGTGCCCTTCTCAGCTGCAGGAGTTCTGGTGAAGATGTGTCAAGACCAGTTGTCCCGTGATATCCCCCTCAGCCACCTTGAGTTTACTGCTAACGGGCCACGGGAGCAGACATCAGACCACAGACAGACACGGCGCTTCCGGGCTCATGGACCTCCTGACACATCCAGGGCCACCGGGCTGCCCAGACTCAGTTGCTCATGTACAGGGGCTACCTCTACAGGCTCTAACTGGCAACAAACACATTGGCATCCTCCCCAACGTCCTTCCTGCCTCCTCAACAGGGCTTTTCCTAGCGTATTGCTTAGGCTAGCACCGTGGCCTTTGGAAGCAGAAAGGCCATTGTTTCTGGTTGGTTATTAGTGTGCTTTCTGTGGTTCCTGCAGCAGTAGAAGCCAATTTCTGGTCTCTGTGTGTGTTTCCCTGTGTGTGTGTTTCTTTGTGTGTGTCTGTGTGTGTAAGAGGAAAAGCAGTAAGATAAACAAAAGGATGCTAGGAATCAAAACACTTTGTTAATACTATTTGTTAATACTATATAATGTCATCTTGCACTTACAGCTAAAAGTAGAGTCATAATGCATAATTGTTGTCGTTACTATGTCGTTACTCTTCAACTTAAAAAGTATTTTTTTCACATTTTATATGATCTATTTCATCACAGATCCAGATAAAAATTTAAATTGTAATTTCTTTCATATACTTCAAACCACTGATTTTTCCAACATTTAAAATAAAAAGCATTCTCTATTGAAACACCATAAATGTTGGCGAGGTATTCTAACCTTCAGTGGAACTCAACCCACACACGTGTATCGTGTGACTTAGGAGGATAAGACCTTATGTATGTGACATGCACTTGAATGGGGTGTACCGTGTGCCAGGCCCTGTTCCAAGTGTTTTGTGTCTGTTAACTCAAATAATCCTCTGAAGGACTCAGTGAGCAAGCACTGCCGTTAACTCTACTTGACGGACGAGCAAAATAGAGACAGCAGAGGCTAAGCGACTTGGCCTGCGGTCACACATCTCAGGAGCAGCGGAGCAGGGATTTGAACCTACGCAGCTGTGCACCAGACGCCAATGTCTCAAACAACTCATCACACCGCCGTCCTCTGCTATGTGGGTTGAGGGCAAAGATGAACTGCAAAGGCCACGGAGCTGTGGTGGGCAGCACCCACCTTTACTGAAGGGAAGAAATCAGTGACGTTTAAATAGGAATAGACTATGATAAATAATTTTTTTTTAATGTCACCTCTGGAAATGAGAGTAAGAAGCCGTGGAGGTCGAAGGTCAGAAGGTAGGCCTGACAGTGCAGGGCCACAGAACAGGAAAGTCAGTCTCCCTTGGGTCAGGCAAGAAGCCCGATCAAGATGTGTACAGTGTCCCCCAAAGTCACGGTAGCAAGAGAGCACACATGGATTGGCACTCGTGATGAAATGGCACGCGCTTGCCCATCCGCTGTGCCAGGTTAACATCACACAAGCCTCGCCAGGTGGTCGAGATTTGGAGATGTGGGGTAGTGTCCCCCTCTTTTTCTTTCAGGAGACACAACTAAGAGTCCATGGGTTTTATAGAGTGGTTTGCATAGAGTGGTCTTAAAAAAGAACCCTCAAATACAGCGCTGCTCCTTCCCTCACTAATTCTCGGCATCTTCCTGGCACTCACGGAGACGCAAGCTTGCTGCGGACTGATGGCGGTCCCAGGCAGCGTGGACGTCCGCTGGAAGGAAGGTGCGGACTGCGAACTCACCACGCGACTAAAAGCCCTCCAACAGCAGGGTGCTCGGTTTCCTGGCGCCTCCCGCAGGCGGTCCCCAATCCCCACGCGCGCGCTGAGCTTTTGCTGATAACACAACTCTTGAAGATCCGCAAAGCAGGGGTGTGGGGACAAAGCAGCCCTGAGCCAGGGGCCGCCCACACCAGAGAAAGCCTCCGATTTTCCGCCTTCCCACAGGTGGGACAACGTAGCTGTCCTGAGTGTCCCCGAGCTACGCCCGCCGGATGACTTTCATCTCTTCTGACTCAGAGCCTCTCACCAGAAAAGTCAATCAAACGCGTTAGTTCATCTACCCAACAAAATGAGCCCCATAGACTTTGTTTTATTATACTGGGGACAAAACCTACTTTCCTGGAACAATGAACACTGTAGACTTCTTTTCCGTTTAAGTTGGAAATAAAAGGAGCGTTTCACTTTTTGAGATACTATTGCCTTCTTTAGTGAAAGCGACTGAATTCAATACCAATTCTGTCACTATCTGTATTCTGCTTGTTTATTTTATGGCCTTCCTAGGCCCTGCAGGCTGAGGACAGAGCACCTTTGCCTTCACTAGTTCAACTCGGCGGCGGGTATTTGTGCTCTTTCTCTGTCTCTGGGAACCCACCGCCTGCCCCCCGCCCGGCCTTCCCCGAGCCCAGCACTCAGATGAGCGGGCAGCCCGCAGCCCGCAGCGGCCGGCAGGAGGAGAAGAGGCTTGATTTGGACCGAACAGCACGGCAGAACTCCAGTGCCGCCGGCAGAGCCTGCAGCCGCAGAAATAGCTTTTTCGTAGACACAGACATAAAACTTTACATAAAAAGTTCTCCGAAGAGTTTTTTACACGAAAACGACATCACGTTATGGCTATAAACCTGGGACTGTAAAGGCTCGAATTGATGTGCTTGGTTAAAAAAAGAAAGAGAGAAACTTGTCCCCTCCGGGGGCTCCTCTCCTGTCACTATTGCTTTTGTACATCCCACGGAGACACAAATCTTAATCAGGAGGAAAGACGCCGGGGTTTCATGTGGAGCGGAGGAAGCGGAGCTCCCAGCCAACCTGCCAGGAGGCGGACTGCCCGCGCGCTTCTCGCTGCGGCTTCTTAAAAGGCCCGTCTCCGTTTGGCTAGATACTTCATAATCCCCACAGTCACTCTGTCCACGTTAGTGTCATCCTCACCACCCCAGTGCCCACCCCACCCCCATAAGCGCCTTCTGGGAGGGGGCGTTGGAGGAGGCCCGGCCCCACCGGACTGCAGCCCGAGGACAAGCCGGCCCCAGCAGGGAGCCCACGCCTCTCCTGCCTTTGCTTCGGGAACCCACGCCAGGCCCCCACAGCCGGCTCTGCTGTGAGGTTAGGACGACGCTGCTCGGTGGTCTCCCCGCCGTGCATCGTTAGGGTCACGCCCTTGTTCCTCAACGGGGGGCCTAGTGACCCGGCTCCTACCTTGCTGGTAATGTGCATTGTCACTTTAGGAAATCTCTAAGTCACACTTGTTCCTTCTCTGTAAGATAAGAAAGGCCAATGTACATCCTCAACAGCCGGGGATGAGAATAAAAAGGGAAATAAACAGAAGAAGGAGGCGAGGGAGCCGGGCGGCGGGAAAGAGGAAAGGAGAGAAGCAGGGCGGTGCAGACGGCCCCCTCGAGGAAAAGGCCGACGAGACACTGGCAGAGCGAAACCGGAGCCCCGGGACCTGCCCCCGTGGGAAACCGCTAGGACGGAGAGGATCGGGCTAGATTCTGACCACAGTTTTACCCTTGGGCACAACTTCTGTCCGGTGACAGCATCATCATCCCCAGATACCAATATCCGTGGTGCGGGTTCCTCGCCATTAGGGACCATTGTTTTAATGCCTTAGATTCTTCCGTGAGCTCTATCAAATCTTTCCTGATATGTTTTAAGCCACCATGATCTCACTACAAGCAGTCTTTGGGGACGTGATGTTCAGTTTGGGAACATTTCTTCCCAGAATAGGTGTCATTTTTATAGGCTTCCCGAAGAAAATGTCATCTTGACAAAGGCAAAATCTATTCATAAAAATAAACGTAAATATGGCTCCATCCCTTGTTCTACCGAGCCGTACGCAAAACCACTCAGAAACGTGGTGAGACCATTGTCACCTCGCCGGAGTGCAGCAAACTCCACGCAGAACGGGTGACGCGTGATGCCTATTTCTGCCCCAGAGTCCCGATTCCCCGTCACAATTCAATGAAGGACCCATTTTTTCCATCTGAAAAAAAAAAAAAAAAGAAAGCTATATTTAAGTTAGCTTTTGAAAAATCTGTGATATTTTAAGCTGATGTCTATTTTCAAACATTTTGTCATATAGTCCAGCAAAGATCTTTATTCTATATTTGATTTTAAAATGTCAGTATATTTTTAAAACTGATTCAGAAATATATGGCGGAACGCTATGTTCTGATAAATCCCCTGAAGATCAGTGAAAGAATGCCCGGCAATACGAAATACCACGATGGGCAGTACTTGAAAGGCAAGAGAGGTAGGAAGATTGGCGAGTCCTTTCTTACAACGAATTCCAAAACTTCCCTCCGCCTGACAGCACCTCTGCCCGGTGTTGGCGCTCTGTGACGACATTCAGCTGCTGTGGCATTTCCTGCCACTGACATCACAAGGCAGGGATGTGATGTCACTGACATCACGACGCCTATTCTTCAAGCCACATGTCAGCGCTTTTGCACAATACATGGACTCTTACAATATTATCAATTTGTTCTTTTAACAATTTTTAAAATTTTATGTTTTTGTTTCTCTTGAATTTAAACTTTTAATTCCCAACCTATACGCTTGTATGGTCATCTATATCTAGAGAGCACCTCAATGTTCTCTGGGACGCGAGCTCCAATGAGCATCGGAAATATCAACAGCAAATACAGATACAGGTTGAGCTTCCCTAATCTGAAAACCTGAAATTCCAAGTGCTCCACGATCCAAAACGTTTTTGGGTGTCCACATGACACCACAAGTGGAAAATTCCAAACTTGACCTCCCGTGACGGGTCACAGTCAAAACGATTTCTTGCACCAAATTATTAAAAATATTGTATGGCATTAACTTCAGGTTGTGTGTTTAAGGCATATTTGAAATGCAAATGGGTTTTGTGTTTAGACATCTCCAAGATATCTCATTATGTATATGCAAATATGCCAGCACCCAAGAAAATCCGATATTCGAAACGCGTCTCTTTCCGGAGATTTCAGATCTGAGGTGCTCAACCCGTTCTGGCTTTGCGCTGTCTTTCTTCCCCTCTGGCACTCCGGGCCGGAGAGACTGGAGCGTGAAGAGCGCGGTTGGTTTGGACTCACGTGGCAACACGCAGAGCACCGCGAGGGAGCGCGGCGCGGAAATGCAACGGCGGGCCCATGCGTGTTGCTGCTCCTGCCACCAACAGACAGAGGTAAAATTCTCCCCCGTGGGACGTCTGCCTGTGACTCGGAAGGAAGTGAAGACGCCCGCGTGCTCTGAACGGGACGGGAAATCGCGGCTCCAGATGCAGCCAGTGTCCCTCCGTTTATGACCGAGGAGCCAAAGCTGCCTTCTGTCCACTGCAACAAAGTCCGTTTTGAGTGGGTGCCGTGGCCTGGGCTGGCCGGCCTTGAGCAGAAGGCACAGCGGGGCCGGGGGTGGCCAGGGTGACCTGCCTCTCACACGGGCGTCAGGGAGGGGTGATGTCTGCGCTGGCTCTGAGGCCCACCACCTCATAAACAGGACTCAGTATTAGGCCCACGGACAAGGCAGAAGGAACGCTGATGAGCCGGGACACGTCGGAATCTGCACAGCAGTAAGGAAGGCTCTGGAGCCTGAGCCCGAAACAAACAGCGGAGGCGTCTCCCACGGGGCGGCTGTGTCAGTGGGAATTAAAGCAGTTAGTTGTTCCCTTTTACCTCGGTTCGCTCAGAATTCCCGGTCAGATGCAGACGAGTCCCAAAGGCAGGTAGTAAAGTCGTGTAATGATTTATATGGGCCTGGGAAGGCATGTCGTTGTTGCTAAACATGCCTGCGCCCTCACCTGCTCGCGCCTTTTGTCATCCGTGGGCAGCCACTTCTGAAAATGCCCGGGGAGGGGTGACCCAATGGGATAAACTTCCGAGGTTTGAAGTCACTGAAAACTAATTCATACTGACTCCCATTTCGTCTGCTGTCAACCTACTACTCATTTTCTTTTTTTAATTTTCTAATTAGGCACATTTCTCTTCCAAATTATAATTAAGAAGTTGTGTGTTACTCACCGGCTCTAACCTTCTGTTGCGGAATCCACCCTTGAGACGCGCCAGGTGCTGTTCTCCTCACCTCTCCCGCCCCCTCCCCCTTCCCTCCCCTCCCCGCCCCTCCCCCGCCCACCCCTCCCCCCACCGGGTAAGGCTCCCTATGTGTCGCTGCTGCTGCCCAGCTGGGAAGGCCAGGTCAGGAACGGGACACAGACAGGGACGAGTATTAGCACGAGACCGCAGAAAACCAGCGCTGGCCGTGAAGGAAGAGCCCACAGAAGCTGCCTCACGCCCGTGCCAAAGTAGCTTCGGGCGGTCAGACACCAGCATGAGCAGCCTTAAAAATCTGAATATCCCACGTGAGCCATATTATAAACAGCTGTGTTCTGTCTTAACAGCGCTGTCTCTAAGGCCTTTCGAGGGCTCCCCCAGGCAAATAAGCACGCCGGCAGGCGCTGCTCTCTTACTCGGTGGAGACTCAGTGGAGACACAGACGGAAGCTCATCCTGGAAGACGAGCACGGCACAGAGGAGCGTGGGGGGCGGGAATGGACGCTGTCAGGGCTGGGATCTGTGTCCCGAGAGATCCTGTAAAGAAATACCCGCAACACGGAGGGGGAGACCCTGAGGCTGGGGGTCCCCCGCCTGCAGACTGCGGGAGTTCCGGACTGTTCTGGATGCCACCTCCAGGCTGCTACACCCACACGTTTCCCACCGCAATGAAGGGCAGCTCTCCCCCAGAACATCAGGATCTTGCAGGATTCCTCTTCTTCCCAACCCTGAGTGGAATCGGTCAGTAAATCCTGCCCCGCCTACCTTCCAACCCTGAGCTCTGAATGTGCCCACTGTCAGCAGCTCTGCCGTGGCCACCGCCGGCTCCCCAGGACCCGCTCCTGCCTGGGCGCTCGCGGCCCCGCCGGCGTGTCTGCTTGCACCCCGCCAGCCCACCTCTGGTCCCAGTCGCCACCCGGCGTTATTCCTTTAAAACCCAGCTCGTGCTTTTTATTTTCTTCCCTCTCGCGTAGCCTAATTGTCATGCAGTGAGTCTCGGCATGTCCGACTAATTCTGGCCTCGGTGGCTGCACTCGAGGGCTCCCTCTTTCATGGAATCTCGTTCCTTGTGACTTCTCCAATGTGACTCATCCTTCAAGGCTCTTGTCATTGAACTCCTAAGGACTGAGCGTCCCTTCTGCAAATTTAGAGACTCACTTCGTACTGTCTGGTACGTGCGTTCAGTGAGACACGCTTTTGTACAAGACTAATGCCGTTTTCCTATTTGTATAATTTTGGGCTCGCGTTGGCCAAAGTTATTTTAAGTTATTGTAGGCTTCTAGCTAATACACCTAACACTTACGATTCTTTGTACTATAATCTAAATGTCCCCTGGGGCCCCGTTACCGCTTAGGGATCTGATTCAACTCGATCGAACCTTACATCCTGGGCTAGTGATAGTCCAGAACTCTCCCCACAATTGACGAATGTCCGGGCTCACTTCCCCGTCATTGAGATAAGTTCTGCTTTGCTGCTTCTGCCTCTCACGCTGGTCTAGAGCAGGGGTTGGCAAGTTATGGCTATTTCCTGCAGGCGAAATCTGGCATGCTGCCTGTCTTTGTACGGCCTGTGAACCAACAAGGAATTGTGCGATTTCATATGGTCGAAGAAAGTTACAAAGAAAACGGTATTTTGTGAAAAATGAAAATTATGTGAAATTCGTATGTCAGTGTCCAAAAGTGAAGTTTTATTAGAACACAGACAAGCCAGCCTCATTCATGTGTGGGTTGTTATGGCCCGATTCCATGGCAGAGTTGAGTAGTTACGACCGCATGACCTGCAGAGACTAAAACGTTTGGTATTTGACCCTTTTAGAGGAAAGTTTGCTGACCCCAGGTCTAGAGGCAAAGACCAACCTGCTTGCTATTCCCACAAGAAGTTCACTCCCCCCTGGCCTTTGTAATTTGAATAATTATACAATTGACCTTTGAACAACATGGAAAGTAGGGGCCCTGGCACCTTGTATGGGTCAGAAATTCACTTATAACGGTTGACTCCCCCCAAAACCTGACTGCTAATAGCCTTCTGTTGACCAGAACGCTTACTAATAACAAATACTCAACTAGCACATAGTGTGCATGTTATAAGTATTATACTGTATTGCTACAGTGAAGTAAGCTAGAGAAAAGCAAATGTTATGAAGGAAACCATACGAAAGAGCACATATGTTTACTATTCATTAAGTGGAAGCGGATCACCATACAAGTCTTTATCCTCGTTGTCTTCACATTAAGTAGGCTAGAGAGGAGGAGGAGGAGGAGGAGGAGGAGGAGGAGGGGTTGGTCTTGCTGTCTCAGGGTGGCAGAGGCAGAAGAAAATCCAAGTATAAATGACCTGCATGGTCCAAACCCATGCTGTTCAAGGGTCAACTGTGCATGACTCGTGGATTTTCTCGGCTCTACTCCCCACTCTTTCTTTCCCTCTTTCTACTCGACCCTCTCCCTGCCTGAAATATCTGGCAGATCTCTCTCTTAGTCTACACCACAGTCAGTTTCACCCAAAACAATGTCTCCTGGAGTCTGACTAGCAGTTTCAAGGCACATTTAATGCCAATGAGGAAATCTGGTAGCAGCTATTAATATAATTGCATTTCCCATAGTATGCATTTTATGTGAACTTTAAACAAAAGCATTGTCTTGTTGATGATATATCAGGTGCTGTAGGTACTCTAATTCCTGTTTTAAGATTTATCGAAATATTTGAGAGACAATATGCCGGATAGCTAGAGTCAAAGAGTAAAGTGCGGATGTCATGGTTTCCAAGAACCCCGGAGCGCGGTCCGGGATGGCAGGTGGGGATGGCGGGGACCTCGGGTCACGGGGACGGTGCGGGAGGGATTCACCCCAGTCGCACGGTGGGTTCGTGTTGGCCGTGGTTCATCTGAGACCAGGACTCCGCCTTGCCCGCCCTCCTCGGACCGCAGCAGCTCCTCACACTGCTTTTAAAAATCTCTCCTGGTAAGGAGCAATGAAAGCGAACAAATCAACAAACTCCCGATTTCACATGTTTAACCGGTGGAGAGACAATTCTCCAAAATAACAATCGCCACCCGAGGCCCCGTGCGGGCAGCGGTTGGGGACAGAGCCAGGGAGGCAGCGCGGGGAGCGGCGCCCCGTCCGCACAGGCCCGCCTCCTGCGTGGGCCCGCTCAGCCCCGGACAGCGCGCTGGATGGCAAGGGCAGTAACTATGTTATCTCCTGGAGTACTCCGCTCTCCCAATTTTCCCGCCTCGCCGCTGATTTGAGACAGCCGGGTGGCGTTCGAGTGGGAGAAGAGAATTTGCATGCAAAGGAGGGCGAGGGCAGAGCCTGCCTGTCACGGTCCACTGGATTCCAGG